AATGTCTTTATTGCCATCACAGAAACGTGGTTTGTAAATCAATAGATCTGCCATATATATCACTGAGTACATCCTTTGCTTTCCCACACAGCCACATCGTAGCCATAATAAATTGTAACTTAAAACTAGTTTGATTTCTTGGTTGGAATGCCTGTGAAAGCATAAGCTGGGTCATAGAACTTTGTACTGTCCTTTTAATTATAGGATTTCATAAAAAAATAAAGAGCAAGAACCTGAGCTCTTGAAATCTAGGGATTTTATGCCACTATAAAACTGCTATACAAAATACACTGTATTATCACAGTGCACACAAAAATTAAGAGACGCTATAGCAAGCGCATAAGAAAGATCAAAATAAATTTGCATTGAAGATACAGGCACCAAGGGAATCCTGTCCAACTATTTCATAAAGGAACTTTTCAAGAGTCTTCTCACTAGCCTGTCTCCCTACGAGCTATTGTTCATTGTCCTTTCTATTTTAAATAGTTGGAGAACAGTTACGTAAAACCAGAAATATAACACTACCTACGAAGTCCTTGTTGGATTGAAGCACAGCTATGTTGTGGTTTTCACCGCAGACCGTAAAAAGGTACTTCTTCCAACAGCCGTCCCATTTGAGGAAAACGATTTGTTAGACCGAGGGTAAGCCAAAGTCCCATTCAGCACTACTGCAGACGCTGTCACAATACACGTCTTCTTGCCGCTCTCTCCATTTCAGTATTTGCTCTGCCAGCTCCTCCAACTCCATCACGAGCAACTCACTTTTTGTCAAAGCAGTTTCCTGAGTCAGAAAAGAGTTGGATTTCATCTCTATACATCCTGTCATTCTAGCAAGACATAAGAATAACCTAAACAACCAAACAGCATTAAATTATGCTGGGGGAGACAGAAGGCTCAGTGCTTTTGCTACTCACCATATTCTTTACGATATCTGGTATCTGAGGGATGCTTCTCATGGCCTGCAAATGGCTTTCAAACTTCTCGATGAAAGTCACAGCCTCAGCCAACAGGTCTACTATGTATCTGTAACCAAAAGTGAGCCTCCTGCTCAGAACTTTGCAAAACAAATGAGGATTTAATACTTCCAAGCTCTTCTTTCTTTCCCCTGTGGGTTTTCTTAGTCCTCTTCTCCAGTTTTAGGTGAGTGCTTAACTATCTAATTCACTTCTCTGCAATTACACTTCTTCTATGACGCTCAGCAACAAGGAGGACAGGAATCACAGAAGTAAATATGCATGTCTTCAGTAACTGGGCTAGTGTGCTAGCTTCTTAGGCCGAGAAAGACTGTATTGTTAAAACAAGTACTATGCATATCTGGGAATCCTTCACGCACTTATTCTGAGCAAGTCACAGAGGAAGACACCACATGCTAAAGTAACCATTCCTACCTATGGAGAAGCATAGCGAGTCGAGCATTTAACACATCTGTTTAAAACAATACATCAAATTGTTGTGTAATCTTCAGAAGACAAGATCAGTAACCTATGCAAATACTCATATGTATGTATCGCTGCCTTTCTATGAATTTGGCAATGAGTAAACTACTAGCTTTTCGCTGAGGTTCTGCTATCATGTTTTATTTCTATTCTTCCCAGTGGAAAAGTGAAGTGAAAGCATGCAATTTTTACTGCCTATCACTTCAAATTAATTTGGACTCATGCAAACAAAGAACAATTATTTTCTGTGTGCCTACTTGTGGAAAGTAGCCTCAATAGGCAGGGTCTCCTGACATCTGGGCTTTATCAACCTCTTCCTAAGAGCTGTCTTCTCGCGCAGTACAGCTTCCAAGTGTCTGTTCATATCTTGCAAAATCTCACATTTTTTGCCTATAAAATAAAATTGAAAAGTTGAAATAATTGTCCTACTAAAACAACAGCAAAACTTCTTCCGGAGAAAGAAAGAAAAAGCCTGATCTACTGCACTGGACAGTTTACACTCAAGGAAGATACCGCTAATCAGAATGACTTTTGTTGGAGTGTACAGGACTTAATATCAGCATGCACCTCAAAAGTCGTAATACCTACTTTTCAGAGATATGGCTTTGTTAAAACTATAGATAATGCAAAACCATTAAGTATACTTTCTTTGAGATGAAACCAACTTCTCAAACTATACCACAGCACTGAAGTATTACAATGCATTTCACTAGCCCAACAGCAGTAGCAAGCTAGAATGTTTTTAAGCGTCCACCAAATCATAGTGGGAAAAGTGTGAATACATATGGTCCCAAAATACTAAAATAAAAATTCAGTTAATTTTAGGGACATACTGATGCAGCAGAAATACACTGAATTACTAAAAAAGCAGCAAAGTAGCACACAGGCCAAGGGAAACAATCAGGCTACAGATAATCTCAGAACTCCTGACGTTCCAATGACCCTGCAGAGCTGACACCCTCCTCCCCCTCTTTTTTTTT